TCGTTAGGGCTGGTAATGACCAATAACACAGAGAGAACACTGTGTTTTTGTTTCAGGCCTTTGGCCAGAGCAGTGAGAGAGGGGTGTGTGTCTGTGTGTGTGTTTAGTGATGGTAGTGGGGTGACATCTATTTTCATTTTTTCCATCATAAAGGAATTGAAGTCCTACAGCATGTCAGCAACATCGACATTTCAGGGTGAAAGAAACAAGTAAAACGAGATGTTAGGCAAGTCACCAGCTCCTGGGGCCTCGGTCTTCTCATCTGTAAAATGAGGATAATAATAGAAACCACCTTCCGCGTTGTGATTGAGTGAGCTGTCGCAGTTAAAGCACTCAGCCCCAGGCCTGGAACATGGTGAGGACTCATGAAACGCTGGCTATTAGTTTAAAAACAAGCCTTATGCATTTTAGTCCATTTATGGAGCTGCTTTTGAATATCTGCTTGTAAACACCCATATGAAGCTGGCTGTGAAACCACGGAAAACACAGTCTTTACGCTCACAGAGCTTGAGGACAACCAGGGTGACAAGAAAACCATCCCGGCAGGGCCAGCTCAATGCGGGTGTGGAGACAGCGGTGGCTTGCTTCAGGTCTGTTTGCTTCTTCCAATTTCTGTTAGCTTGTTCCTTCGGTGGTGGAGGAAGGGCAGTTTCTGCAGGCTGCAGACAGCAGGGTATGGATCACTGGTCTGGCCAGGCTTTCATCAAGTGAAATCTGCTCTTCGTGTGTTTGTTACTGCCACAAAAGCACATGATTTTCAAGGGATAAGTTGTCAGGATGTTTTTAATTACGATGATGAAATTCCAGCTGAAGTTAACTTAAGCAAAAATAAACGAGCAGAATTCCCAAAAGGGTGTTTACTTTCTTACACAATTTCAGAGAAGAAAGATGAGTGTCTTGCCAGCTTCAGTCATAGCTGGGCCCAGGCGGCCAAATCTCTCTTTCTCTTCTTTCTTCATTGTCTGACAGCTTCAGGCATACACAGTAAACCCTCAGCTCAGGATTTCAGAGCCAGAGAGAACCTCCTCTTGGACCAACAACTCTAGGTAGGGAAATGGGGCACCACAGCTGGCCAGACATGCCCCCAAAGCCAGGGGATAGATTGACCAGCAGCTCCACAGGCCCCACGTGGGGCAGGAGGGATACAAGGCTCACAAACTCTATCAGTGAGCCTCTGGGGATAGAAAGCGTAAGCAGGCGCCAAGCATTCCAGGTAGGCGGCGAATGCAGCCTTCCTCCTTGCATCTCACCCAGCTGTGCTTAAAATGGCTTGTCTGGCACACTGAGGGGTCAGCCTACTTCCTTGCGTTCAAAAAGTGAAGTTTCTAACTCTTTGTTCTTGAATCAAACCCAGTGAGTGAAGACTGAGCATTCCAGATGGGCCAATCATGCAGCAGCATGATGGCAGTTCTGAGATGCTGCCCAGTGAGCCCCAATAGTCACATCCTGGGGTGTCCCCTCTCACTGAGTAGGACCCATCTGGCAACCAGTAGGACTGCAGAAATGATGTCCAAGGCTAGGTCATAAAAGACATGGTTCCTGCCTTGCTCTCCTTGAATCACTCATTCGGGAACAGTCAGCTGCCATGTTGTAAGGACACTCAAGCAGGCCTGTGGAGGAGTCCACGTGGTGGGAAACTGAGGCCTCCCACCAACAGCCAGCACCAACCTGCCAGGCATGTGGGTGCACCAGCTCAGAGGTAAATCCTCCAGTCCCAGTTGAGCCTCCAATGACACAGCCCCAGGTGACACCCTGACTACAACCCCATGCAATCCCTGAGCCAGAACCAGCCAGCTAAGCCACTCCTGAATTCCTGACCCACAGAAACTATGAAATAATAAATGTTCATTGTTGTTTGAAGCCTCTAAGTTTTGGGGTCATTTGTTACACAGCAGTAGAAATCGGACACAGGCATACTATGATCGCTTCCTCCCTTCCCAGGGACAGAGTCACTTTGGAAAGCTTCCTTGGATCATTTTCAAAGCACTTCTCAATAGTTCTCTAAGTTCTTGTTACAAAGTTTCAGTTTCGCAAATGCACTCACACTGATATCACAGGCTGCTCAGAACCTCAACAGACAGTTGCCAATCAAAGAAAATCAGGTTTACACTGCATTTACTTCCCTCTCCTGTACAAGGTATGGAGATAGTCGAAATTCTAACAGGAAGGATGCCTTCAAAGATCTGCCAGTCTCCCTCCTTGTTACTGCAAGTGGCGTGTGGTATCACACACTATCACAATTCTGCAGAGTCACTGATGACATGTGGCAGGAGGCCCCTGGGTCCTGAAGCCCCGTGAAGTCCTCCGGGTGGTCTTCTGGCAGAAGTAACATCTCCCTGGGAGATGAGCTAGAATTCAAGGAAGGTCTGATCCCAGCCTGCTTACATCAAGGGAGGACTCGGGGAAAAGGCAGATCTTGAGCATACCCTTCCATGCCCCTCTCCCCTGGGGTGACTGGGACATACCCCACACATTCCCCACCTGGTTCCAAAGCTGTTTCCCTACTCCTCCTACAAGCCCTCAGTCATGTAGGTTTCAACACCTGGGCCCCTCCCACAGAAAGCTTCCTGCTGGGTGCTTTTCTGGTCCTGTGTCATTGCTGGCACGTGCTCCTTCTCTCTCCCAGGATCCAAACATTATCATTCTGCAGTAGTAGCTCAGAGTACTCCATCTCCTTGCCCTCTCATCGTTGAACTCCAATCCTGGAAAGAAAGCCACACAAGCTAGTGGTCCTCAGTGTACCAGCCAGGACTCTGCAAGTGACAGAAAGCCCTGTGCTCAGGCTCCAGCCCAGCCTCAGGTCTCTGCCTCCTGCTGTGGCTCTGGCCCCTCCGCATGTGGGATTTGTATGGGTTGGTCCCCAGCGGCCGTGTGAGGCAAGGCAGGGCAGGGCAACATGACCCACAACACCCCGGAGCCATGTGGTCTCGGGGACAGGCACCTTCCCAAAGGGCTGGGGAGACTCACCGGAAAACCAACAGTAGTTCACATCCATTAGACACACCCTCGATGTTCACTTGCTACATCAGGTCCCACCTGCCTCTGCAGAGGAATTTTAGACTCCTCAAGGTCAGGGTATACTTTACTCCTCCTAGCAGAGAGTAATGGTCCCCTCATCCTGCCCCTGCCTGCATACCCTCTGTGACAAGACGCTCACTACTTCCAGAAGTAATTCCTTGTGTGGAGCTGGTTTCTGCCCCTCTGTGACTGCCACCATTGGGCCAGTTCTGCCTAATAGCAAAGAACACTGCTCACCAATTGCCACGTTTCTTCCCTCCTTTCCTTCCCTTTTGCCCATAAGTCACCAATGGATGAACTGGACCCATGGGCAATGTCTGTGGATGACGCTATGTCTGTCCTTCCACAGGGCATGGGGCTCCGCCACCCTGAATCGGGCACACGCCTACTTTGGGGAAAGTCCTGCATCTCGTTTTCTCTTGCCTAAAATAGCTACTTCCTTTTTGGGGGAGGCAGGGTGGTGGGGAGCAATGAAGGGGATGAAGTAAGTCGTTCACAGATGCCTGGTTTGGAATCCTTCCTGGAAAAGTCAGCGTTTGCATCAGCCAAACGGGAGGCAAGGCGCTTCTGGCTGCTCATTAACCAAAGCAAACAGAGTGGTGGGGAAAGTCAAAGCCTCAGCCAACCACAAGCAAACACGTCAAGTATCCTCTGTGGAGCTGACTTTCTTCTAAAGGAATGTGTAGTTATTTACAGATAATATCAAATCCATTTCATGTCAGATCAGGATGACGGACAGCCAGAGGCTGCTGGGGTCACATTAAATGGCGCTTTTATGGTAATAAATTGTTTCCTTTTCACGGTTGCATGAGCAATCTCAAGTTTTATTTTGAGGTGTCAACTGCCCTCAGGGACACCTTCCGCAGGTGGGATCTCGGGTCCTGGCCACCCTAAGTGAGAAGACAGACCCTGGCTGAGTCACTCAGCTGTGGTGGCATCACCCCTGTCCCTGCCCTGCTCCTCAGCCCCATGCAGGCCGGCAGGGGAGCCCTCCTCTCCCTGACAGGGTCTCCATTTCTTCCTCTCACACTGTCCATTGGTAAGAGTGGCTTGCATTTGCCACAGTGCTGAGGGCTCTCAGTCTTCACAGCTGAGGAAACAACACGATTTATTGGGAGCCACTTAAAATAACCAGTTCTCCAGCTGGTCTCGCTGCCCCTGTGCTGGTGGCCCTGCTGATGCGGGGCCTGGCTAGAGAGAGGTGGGCCTCATGTGCCCTCACCTGGGCCATCCCCACCATGCGGTGAGGTTGGGTTACATCCAGCCAGGAGGCAGCTTGCAGGGCCGTGTGGCTTGTCGGAGGACCCAAGGGGGAACTTATCAGAGGGCTAGAGAGAGAGGGGGCTAAGCAGTGGTATGTGAGAGGAAGGGGGCTAGGACAGTCTAGATGCTTCCTGAAAGGTCACAGATCTATTGAAATTCCCAGCCAAACTTCAGGATTGGGAAGCACCCTTCTTAGGAGCAGGCTAGGGATCAGGCCAGCTTGGCTCATCCCTGGCCTACAGGCCTTGCTCCCGAGCACAGGGCAGGGGCTGCCAGCCCTGGTTGAGAATGGTCTGAAAGCTGCCTGGAGAGAACGGGCCTCTGGATCAGGATCACGAGGGTGGGACCTGGATAGATCCCATAGTCACCAGACGTGTTACTCAGAGGGAGGTTCCTGGCCAGCAGCTCTGTTAGCATCACCTGGGAGCCTGTAGCAAACGCAGAATCTTGAGCTCTGCCCAGACCTACTCCATCAGAATCTCCATGGTAAATGATCCCCGCTGACCCAGGCTGGGGTTCGAGGAACACGGCCCTGCCAAATCTGAAATCCAGAGCTAGGCCGAAGTACACCATCAAAATGCTGACTCTAAGTTAAATGCAGAAGCATCCTTTGAGCAAAGGTGGTGGAGTGGGCTTAACTATGACCCTCTCAGAAGATGTCCATGTCTCAGAAACACAGAAAGTGACCTTATTTGGAAACAGGGTCTTTGCAGATATAATTAAAAATCTTGAGGTGAAATCATCCTGAAGTAGCCAAGGGGGTCCTAAATCCAATGGCAAGTGTCCTTGTCGGAGACACAGGCAAGAAGACCACGTGAAGACAGAGACAGAGATCGGAGTGGTGGGGCCGCAAGCCAAGAAACACCTGGAGCCACCAGAAGCTGGAGGAGGGAGGAAGGATCCTCCCCTCAAGCTTCAGAGTGCACACCCCTGCAGAAACCTTGCCTTTGGACTTCTGGCCTCCAGAACAGTGAGACGATACATTTGTGGTGTTATAAGCCAGCAAGTTTGTGGTAATGATCGTGGCAACCACAGGAAACTAAAATAGATGGCCTTTTCAGAATCTGCAGAGGAAAGAAAAGCATAACCAAAGTGACCTAAGAAAAAGGTGATGACCTCACCAGTCCCCAGTCACAGGAATCTTAGCTTTGTTCCCAGAATTAGCTGACTTCCTCCACCCAATTTCCTTATTCCTTTTTAATGCTCCACAAAACCCAAGGACAGTCAAGACCTAGGGCACCTGGCCCTGCATGGCTGGCTGACCACCAGACCGTCAAAAGTTGCCAGAACAGCTCCTTCATGCTCCCAAACATGACCATTTTATTTACTCCTAACTCCACCTTGTTTGGGAATTATTTAAAGCAGTTTCGATGGATTGAAACTGAGCCATATTTTAACTGCTTAAATGCCTCTTAAAAACAGACTTCATGAGCTCAATTGGCTCAAGAAACAACAAAAAAAAGGAAATAAAAGAAAAAAGATAAAAACATGTCAACAAGTCCTTTGGCAAGTGATCCCACGATGGCTTCATTTTCTGGGCTTAGATGGCGCTAGATGAGGTTAATTTAAAACGAGGTATACCGGTACTAGATTCGAATGAACAGAAACTCTGAAGGCTCCGGGGGCTATTGGATAGCGAGATCGTTTCCCTTTTAGAACGTTTTCAGGATTCAAAGATAAAGATTCAGGGCAGGGCTTCTCAACTCTGACTCACGCTAGAATGACTTGCGGAGCTTAAAAAGAACAGCCACGTTCCAGACTCTCCCCACATAAGGTGATTCAGAATCTGGGTGGGTAGCGCCCACCCTGGGGCTCCATAGAACCCCCGAGCCAGACCCTGCACCCAGCTCCTCACTGCCCCCCACAGGCCGCACGGTGTAGCGCGGTCACGTGCCCAGGGCTGGCCAATCAGATGTGCTCACGCTGGGCTCAGCTGTGAAGGGGCAGGCACCCTCCGGGATCCATTCAATGGCAATGTGTGGTCAGGGCTCCCAGGCAGCGCCGGGCGGACGGTGGTGGGATAAGCTGTGGGCCTGCACCCGGTCGTACAGATGAGGATACAGCTCAGAGGGACCAGGCGGCTTGCCCAGAGTCCCACAGCTAAGGACTGGCAGAGCTGAGATTTGAACCCAGCCCTCTGGCTGCACCACCTGCCACTTTTCCTCCCTGGAACCAGCTCCGTGCCTTAATGAGGGGCAGTGTTCTGGACTCTTGCTTTCAGGCCTAGCTCTCCGAGTCTCCCAGCGCAGCCGTGAGCAACCAGACATGCCTTCTGCTTTCTTTCAAAGTTAACTTTGTTACCGAAGTATCAGATACATGCAGAAAAGATCACAGATCCTAAGAGTGCAGCTCAGTGAATTTTGACAAAGCAAGCAGAGTCATGTCATCAGAACGCAGACCAAGAAACAGAACAGGGCCAGCACCCTAGAGACTCTCCGGGGGTCTCTCCTCCCAAACGTAACCACCGGCAGCTTTCTAGATTGGTTCTGCCCGTTCTTGAGCTTTGTAGTAGCAGCCTCATACAGTACACATTCATTTTGTGTCTGGCTTCTTTGACTCAGCATGGGTGAGAGTCATCCACGCTGCTGTATGTAGCTGAGGTTTCTCCATCCTCCGTGCTGTCTGGTGTGAAGGTCCGCACCTGGTCTACCTGTTGTCTTGTGAATGGGCATTTGATGTTTGAATGGTGCTGTTAGGAACATTCTATTCTTGTGCCTCTCTTTTGGCATCAATGTGTATCCAATATGCTCTTAAGAAATGCTTTTTTGGGCCAGGCGCAGTGGCTCACGCCTGTAATCCCAGCACTTTGGAAGGCCAAGGCGGGGGGATCACATGAAGTCAGGAGTTCGAGACCAGCCTGTCCAACATGGTGAAACCCTGTCTCTANTTTGAGACGTAGTCTTACTCAGGCTGGAGTGCAGTGGCACAATCTTGGCTCACTGCAATCTCTGCCTCCTGGATTCAAGCAATCCTCCTGCCTCAGCCTCCCAAGTAGCTGGGACTATAGGCATGCGCCACCACGCCCATATAATTTTTGTATTTTTTAGTAGAAAAAGTGTTTGTTTCACCATATTGGAGAGGCTGGTCTCGAACTCCTGACCTCATGATCCCCCCACCTTGGCCTCCCAAAGTGCTGGGATTACAGGTGTAAACTACCACACCCAGCTAGCAAAAACTCTAAGGTAGATCATCACGCAGTTATTATAGTTTTAACATGTAATTTATTTATTTTAAAAATTATTTTGACAAAATATTCCATACATACCAAAAACTATACAAAGTACAGCTATATAATGGATAAACTGTGGTATATTAACACAGTGGAACACTGATCAGCAACAGGGATGAATAAACCCAGTGATTTGCAACAAGGTTGAATCTCTGCCGGGCATGGTGGCTCATGCCTGTAATCCAAGCACCTTGAAGGCCAAGGCGGGGGGATCACCTGAGGTCCGGAGTTCAAGACCAGCCTGACCAACATGGTGAAACCTCGTCTTTTTTTTTTTTTTTGGAGTTCCGTTCTTGGTGCCCAGTGCGGAGTGCAATGGTGCGATCTCGGCTCACCGCAACCTCCGCCTCCTGGGTTCAGGCAATTCTCCTGCCTCAAAAATACAAAAGTTATCTGGGTGTGGTGGTGGGTGTCTGTAATCCCAGCTACTCGGGAGGCTGAGGCAGAAGAATCATTTGAGCCTGGGAGGCAGAGGTTGCAGTGAGCCGAGACTGCCTCTGCCCTCTGAACAACTAGTTCAGGGACACAAGTGCATCTCCGTCCCTTGGACCTGCCTCACGCCATACAGTGGTTTAACAGGTAATACCCGCCTCCTTGATGGAAATGGCTGGGGCAGGAGACTGAGCTGCTCAGGACTCCAGCCTGGGCAACAGAGTGAGACTTCATATTAAATTAAAAAAAAAAAAATGAGAGAGAGAGAAATGCTTTTTTTGCTAAAGTGAGCAGAGTTGGTTTATGTTGCTTACAGCCAAACACTTGGTTAATGCCATTTATAAGCACCACCATTACCCCTACTTTACAGAGGTGGAAACTGAGGTTCAGAGAGAGGGTCAGCCACAGCCCAGGCACAGCTGTGGCCTTAGTTCCAAGCCGTGTAACTGAAGAGTAGCAGAGCCGGATTTGATCAGAGCTGCCCTCTGAACAACTAGTTCAGGGACACAAGTGCATCTCCGTCCCTTGGACCTGCCTCACGCCATACAGTGGTTTAACAGGTAATACCCACCTCCTTGATGGAAATGGCTGGGGCAGGGGACTGAGCTGCACTGATGGTACTGTCCTGGGCAGGGCTTGGGATGTCGCCAGCATGCAGGAGCCCTGAGAAGAGGATTGGTCCCTTCCGAGAGCAATGAGGGAGAGGGAAGCCTCCTGGATTGCCACTGTGCCTGGCATCAGCCCTTCCAGAGGGAGGCTCCTCCCTGAGAGCAGGGCAGGTTCCTTTGGGAGGAAAGGGCAGGCTCCTTGGCTGGGCAGAGTGGTAGCACGGGCATTGCCGAAGCAGCCAGTGGAGATAGGGATCCCAGCCTTGAGATTCACCCTTTGCCTCCCACTGGAATCCTAAGTATGAAAATGATGCTTCCGACTGACCGTCTGGCAGCCCTGGTGAGGAGCTGTCCGCACCCACTCACTGCTGCAAATAGCACGGTGGCATATGGTGGCAGAAGGAAGGTCCAGAAGGAAGCTCTTCTGCAGAATGGCCCATGTGATGGGCTACTGCGTGACGCATTGGAGTGGGGATCGTTTCCTTGCAGCGGAGAAGTGGGTCAGAGGCCGGGGTTGTCACATGGGAGTCCCTCCTGGGGATGGGCCGCTGCCAGATCCCTCTGTAAACAGCATTTGAATCAGATTCACTGCTCCAGAAACTGGGGATCAGGGTCCCTGAAGCCAAGGAGCAGGCATGGGAGAGGCAAGAGGCGCTGGCAGCGTGTTTGACAGAATGCATGAATCTTGTTAAATGAGGGAGAAGCCAAGCTGGCGAGTATGGGCAAGTTAGACCTTCCTGGGTCACCCCCTGCGGGGGCTACAGGCCTCAGTGTGGTCTCTGACTTGCAGCAGCATCCAGGAACTTGTTAGACATACAGGTGACCAGAAGTTCCGTGGGGGGGGCAGCACTCTGGGTTTTGATATGGCAAGCATGTGATTCTGACACATGCTCAGGTTTGAAAGCCACTGGCATAGTGCAGTATGAAGTGGGTATGATCATCAATCCCATCTCACAGCTGAGGAGACAGAAGGTCTGAGCCAGTTTTACCCCACGTTACACAGCCAACAGGAAAGACTTAACAAAATCAGGTGCAGCTGTGAATAACAGAACTAGAACTCCAGAGCACCATGAACTAAACAAAATCATTTATTTTTCCTTCACGGTCCATGATAGCTGCAGAAGCTCCAGCCATTGTACCATTGTGTCCACGTCCTAGGCAACAAAAAAGAAGGGAAAGGGCCAGGTGCGGTGGCTCACGCCTATAATCCCAGCACCTTGGGAGGCTGAGGCAGGTGGATCATTTGAGGTCAGGAGTTCAAGACCAGCCTGGCCAACATGGTGAAACTCCGTCTCTACAAAAAATACAAAATTAGCCAAGCATGGTGGCATGCACCTATATTGCCAGCTACTCGGGAGGCTGAGGCAGAAGAATCACTTGAACCCGGGAGACGCAGGTTGCAGTGAGCTGAGATCACATCACTGCACTCCAGCCTAGACGACAGAGTGAGACTCTGTCTCAAAACAAAACCAAAAACAAACAAGGAAACAAGTAAAAGGAGGAAGGTCCCACTCTGTCCCTTTAGGGGCACTTCGTAACACTGTATATATGGCTTCAGCTTACATCTCATTGGCCACAGTTTAGTCAATTGCTTCACCTAGCAGCAAGAGCGGCTGGGAGAACGAAGTCTGGGTTCCGAGTGACCACGCGCACAGGTAGAACTTGGGGTTCTACTGCTGTAGAAGAACCTCAATGTTGGGGGATAAATAGGCAGTCTCTGCCGCAAGCGTGTACCTGAGAATCAACCCAGAGCTTCTAATTTCACCATCCGAAGTTATGTTTTTGTGTAAACATCTTTATCTTCCCCTTTTAGAAGTCCCACCGAAAGCAAGCCTTCTTAGAAGTCTTCTCCTTTCCTGCTGTATTCCCAGTGCCTAGAACAATGCCTGGCTTGTAGCGGTGATCTTTGTTTGCTATTGACATATAAAACTTTAAAAATTAAATTAAATACCTCATGTAAGAGAAGCTTGTTCAGGGTCTGGCACATAGAAGGTACTCAGAATGTGGTTGTTGCTACGTATGTAACACAGTGCTTCGCAGGGAAGCCCAGCTGGTCCCTAGCGACGTTTACCTCTTAGACCCTCAGTTCCACTGCCATCCCCTGCCTGCATGCAGAGACTTGCACACAAACCCTAGTTCCTGACCTGGGCCTTTCATTGGGCTTTAAGAATAATCAGTGCTGGCCAGGTGCAGTGGCTCACTCTGTAATCTCAGCACTCTGGAAGGCTGAGGTGGGTGGATCACTTGAGGTCAGGAGTTCGAGACCAGCCTGGGCAACATGGTGAAACCCTGTCTCCACCAAAAAAAAAAAAAAAATTAGCCAAGAGTGGTGGCATATGCCTGTAGTCCCCCAGCTACTTACAAGCCTGAGGCAAGAGAATCACTTGAACCCAGGAGGCAGAGGTTGCAGCAAGCAGAGATGACGCCACTGCACTCCAGCCGACAGATCAAGATTCTGGCTCAAAAAAATAAAAAGAAGAAGAACCAGCACTGTTCGATGGCGTCTGGAGAATGTAAGCCACAGCCCAGGTAAGCACTGATTGGGAGAGAAAATTCGTATCACCATGTCTTGTACGAGCCTGGAAATAGGCCTTGAGAACAAAGCTGGGTTCAGGCTGCCGTGATGGGGTGTCTGTCCTGGTGTTTGTCATTTGAGCTTTTCCTTTGTAGGTGCTGCCTCCATGGATTCCAGGGACTTGGTGCCCATACTTACGGCCCGTTGGGTGCCCGTCCCTTGTTGCCAATGCTAGGTTTGCGGTTGCCCCTGTTTTGCTTAACTGGGTCAGGCTGGATGGAGCTGGGAGGGCTGTTTGCGTTGGCTGCTTTTCCCTGTTGAATGCTGCATGCTAACGCAGCCTCCTAAATCCAATTTAACATAGATCTTGACATTTGGACCAAGGCAAGTGGGCCTTATTCAAATCCGAACGGTCTATTGCTGAACTGGGAAACAGACAATGGCTGATGGTGTGCTGTTCAGTTGCAACTGTCCTAATTACAGATAAACACTAATTTCACAGGATTTTTTAGAGTGGAGCAAATCTTTAGAAAGAAGTGTCCTCATTTAAAAACTACAGATCAAGAGGGCTGTGAGGGTTCGTTTTATTTACTGATAATGTGGACTGCGTCAATTCCTGAATCTCATTTGTTCGACCTCCCAGGGCTATTGTGAGGAGCAAAACGAAAATGAGGTAATGTTTGTGGAGGTCCCTGATGAAGAGCAAAGCAATCCACGCCCACGGTAGTGTTGTGCATTCAACGTCCTGCACCTTGCAGCTGCGTCCCACTGACGACGACCTCTTAGCTGTGAGTTCCAGGCCCTCTCCCCTCACTCCACGGCCCACTCCCCGTGGGTCCGTCACCACCATCTTCCAATTTCCTTGAATGTGGCTTCTCAACATTTGGGCTGAGGCTCAAATGTCACCTTGTTGAGGAAAAGGTGTCCAGTCTACTTGCATGGTGCTCTGCCCTGTGTCTTTCTGAGTTCTGAGTCCCATGAAATGATCTGATGTGTTAGCTGACTTGCTTTTCTTTCTCTTCTCCATGGGAGCACCAGCTCCCTGAGGGCAGAGACCTTGTCTGTCTTGTTCACACCGGCATCTCCTGCGGCCAGAACAATGTCTTGCACCTGGTAGGGATGGATATATGTTGACTGGGAGTTTGGCTTGGGGAGCAAAGGAGAAAGTGAAGTGTTAAGAAATTAGGGCATTTAGCATTATCTAAGAAACTGAAGCAGTACCTGGAGTCCCTGGGGTCCCCGAGTACCTGAAGCAGGTGTGTGGAGTGGTACCCGGAGTCCCCGGGATCAATGAGTACCTGGAACAGGTGTGTGGAGCAGTACCCGGGGTCCCCAGAATCTCTAAGTACCTGGAGCAGGTGTGTGGAGCGGTACTCGGGGTCCCCGGAATCTCTAAGTACCTGGAGCAGGTGTGTGGAGCGGTACCCGGGGTCCCCGGAATCTCTAAGTACCTGGAGCAGGTGTGTGGAGCGGTACCCGGGGTCCCCGGAATCTCTAAGTACCTGGAGCAGGTGTGTGAAGGGGTACCCGGGGTCCCGGGATTCCTAAGTACCTAGAGCAGGTGTTACGTGAGAGACTTTGATACCCAGAAGCTTACAGATTAATAGAGTAATTTGCAGTATTCAAATAAGTGCCACTTATGTATGAGGTGACTGGTGGCGGGAGCAGGAGGCTATAAGTACAGGAGGGGCTGGAGAAGACACACTTGTGGACACTGGACCTGGCGCTGCCTCCACTCCATCACACGCTGTGTGTGGCCACAGCTGGCCAGGGTCTAGGCTGGACGTGGTACCAACCAAGTGCTATCCAATGTCCGTCCCGCAAGACCGGAGTCGTCCGACGGGCAGGAGGCGGCCATGCAGGGCTGGCACTGGCACTGTGCTTTCATATTGGCTTAAGAGACCCTTGACATTTTTTTTTTTTTTTTTTAGAAGGGGTTTCCCCTTTTTTTCCTTGTCTTGTTTTTAATTGCACGTTTTTGGTTCCCTGCAACCTCCCCCTCCTGGGTTCAGGCAATTCTCCTGCCTCAGCCTCCCGAGTAGCTGGGACTACAGGCACACGCCACCATGCCCAGCTAATTTTTTGTATTTTTAGTAGAGACGGGGTTTCACCATGTTGACCAGGATGGTCTCGATCTCTTGACCTTGTGATCCACCCGCCTCGGCCTCCCAAAGTACTGGGATTACAGGCTTGAGCCACCACGCCCGGCCTCTCTTGACATTTTTTAAAGAATTTTCTCTGCTTCATTCTCACCCATATACGCCTTATGAGAGAAGCAAGGAAGCCAGTTCTGGGGATGTCAGCCTGGCTGGTAAAACCCGGAGGATTCTGTCTTCAAGGGTACCTTGACTGTTGTGTTCAAAGTAAGCTTTGAACAACAAATGTAAAACCCCTGCCAGGCCAAGTCCAACGAGTAGCTCATTAAAATGTATTTAGGTTGAGGCCTATTTTTTTAAGCTACTTTATCAGAAAAAAAAAAAAATTGGATTTAGATACTGAGGAAGGCTTCTTGCAGAGAGGGACGTCCGTTGTCTTAGTTCTATGATCTTGCTGCTTAGGCCGCTCACCCCAGCAGGGCGGAGTTGCTCTCACGTCCCAGGGGGCCGCTGAGGACGCACTATCGCTCTATCGACTTCTCCCTCCTGTCATCACCGCCG